CCTCCCTACCCCTATATATCCAAGTCCATTTTCGTACCCAATCACCAAATCGTATACCTAGATACCTAGTACTTAGTTACTTACTTAGCCAACGCCGTCCTTCATCATGCCGCCTAAGAGATCCAACCGCCGCATGGTCATCCCTCATCCAGATCAAGTAGATCAAACTGCGCCTACTCCTCCAGCAACGCCACCACCTACCGCGGAACCCGTCCCTGCACCAGTACCTCAGTTCAACCGATTCAACATCGACGATCCCTATGATTCTGATGATCCCGTGGTGGTCAACGCCCGTAATGCCTACATCAACAATCATGATTCGGATAATGAATCCAATGCCGAAGAAGAAGAAGGTCCTTCTGCTCCCAAACGTAAACGGGAGGATGTAGAACAAGAAGAACGTGATGTGGGTCAGGAGGACCCTGAAGCCATTACCGTCGACGAGACCAGTCAGGACGAAACCCTGGTATGTACCATTTGTATCTTGCCTTGCGAATGTAATACTTCAGAACCCTTCGTCATGACACCCTGCTGCAATCATCCCCTTCATGGCGCCTGCGTCCTGCACTACTTGGAAATGAAGCGTACCCACTTTAGCATCATGTGCCCTCATTGCACCCAAAATTTATGCGTGGGTCCTGATTATGTCACTCCCGAACAATTCCCCGACGGGGTGGCCGACCGAGACGATTACAACTACGTCATTCACAGCTACGTCATGTTTCGCTTGCCTCGTTCGTGTTACGAACAGTACTACGACGAAACCTACAGAAAACCTTACCATACCTATGCTCCAATGTTTCACATGCTCTTGCCCACCCCTAGGAAGCGCTTCGTTGCGTCATCGACTTCATCTCTAACGGCTACAAACAAAACAAACAAGACATCGACGACATCTTCTTCTTTTTCCAACGCCAAGAACAACTAGTCACCACATTTGAAAAACGATGGAAACTTCAAGGCGACTTGAAAGGCATCCACGAACTCCTTCAAAAGCAACTTCAGTCCTGCAGCATCCTTAAGATAGGCCTCACTCCTCCTGACACCAGAACCTAAAACAGACACTCTATCTTTTCAGACCGCAATCGCCACCACCGCCACAAACGTCTTACGCAAACACATTGGAAGAACCCTAGTCCTTACCCAACTGCTTGACAATCTTTACGACCTCCTCTACGACAAAAAACTCTGGTTACTCCATACCCGACTCAGCAGCGATACCCACCCTCTCCTCCACCAACTGCAATGCTATGAACGATGCCTCAAAAACAAACTCAGAGTCTCCGGCGCCGACATCGAAAGATTCACTCAAATCGAAGGAGGAGACTTCATCACCGGCATGTTCTGGCTCGATACCCTAGCCCATACCTTGTGAACTTCACCTTATGTTTTCTTCAGGCCGCCGCCGCCACCAAAGCCACCGCCGTCGTCTGCGCCATTTGCCTTTCCAACGTACCCCCCAACTGTCCCAACACCGTCATGACCCTTTGTTGCAAACACCAATTTCACTACGACTGCCTCGACCAATGGCGTACTCATCAAAACACTCAGTGTCCCATGTGCAGGGCCCGACCCATCCACACCGATCCACCCTTCCTCACTACCCTGGAACTCTTGCCTCTCGATTCTGACGACGACAACGATTACCAAGCCAACGACACCCCTCCACAGGACGACATCGATCACCAAGCTCACCCCTTTGCCATCATCCCCTCCACCACCATCGCCCTCGAAGATGCCCAAGATTACAGCTGTCACCACCGTACCCCCAATGCCTACGGTCCCATCGTCCTCAGTTCTACCTATACGCGTCTCCACAACTTCCAGTTCACACAAACTCCTTCCACGCCTCTACGTTACCTACTCGTCGCCCACGAGGCCCGCGAATACCCGCCCTCGGGATTCATCCGTGTCCAAATTTCCACCTCGGGCACCATCAACCACTACTTATTCGCTTCGGCCATGTGGAGAACGTACCAAGACGATAGCAACATCATCTTTACTTACCTGCCCTTGGTCGATGGCCTCAATCGCGACCTTCCCCTATCACACTTCAATGCACACACGTCCGTCTACGTCTACGTGGCCCCCTACTTCCACACAGACAACAATCCCAGCATCTACATCATGGGGGTCAGCACCAAAAAACCATTACGCGCTACCAAAGCATCATTTCTAAAAGCATTTCCACGTTGTCCTTTTCCCTCACTAGAAGGCCTCTACTACACGCCCCGACACCCCAGACGACCCCTCTCATCTGGTATGTACGTGTCAAGAGGCTCAAGATCCTGACTGCCTCCAATGCAACGAAGCGGCCAAGGACTCCGAAGTGGACAACAAAAGATTCTTCTTCCCTCCTGACTTCCAAAAACGCACTCCTTCACACCTCATCACTGACGTGGCCGACGCCCTGGACGCATGCCCCACCTTCCAATTGTTCCTCAACTTTTTATCCATCTTCAACAAGACAAAAGACTCCAGCCCCTGTCGTTGTGGTTGGTGCGATTCTTAATACCTCACCTTTCCCATTCACAGGCCACTACAGTGCAACTCGTGGCCGACGCCTTGGACCAATGCCCCAACTTCAAATTATTCATCGCTCTCAGGGACCGACTCAGAAACAGAAACGACCATACCGACGCCAACTGTCCTTGTGGCTTGTGCACGTCCTGATCGCATGTTCACCTTTTCCTCCTACAGACCTACGTTCCCTTGTGGCCACGTGACTACCATGACACGCAAACGACGCAAACGACGTTCACCCTAACGAAGACCTTTGCCAATACTGCTCCCTCTTGTTCACGTTTGAAACTACTCTTGCTCCTTAACAGTGCTGAGTGTGTTACTCGCCTCTTCCCGATCATCCGCTTCAACGACACCTTCCGACCGAAACACTTTACTCCGACACCAACATGACCTCCTGCTGTACCCAACCCATACACACCGAGTGCCTCATGCAGTGGATCCTCAGCACGGGTTTCAACTACACCTGTCCTTACTGCCGTGCTCCCCATGCGCTGCCTCAATGGCCCGGCTCCTTGTTCGTCAACTACCTCGAAGGCCACTTCTCTCAAGTGTACAGCGGCGACCCCGTCTGGGAAATGGCTCAACCCACCATGGCTCGCATCATGCTCCTCTTCTTGCGTCACGTCCACGACCTCATCCACATCCGTCCCATCGCTCACGTCAATTTCCACAACACCATCAAGCCTCCGCCGTGCCTGCTCTGCCGCAAGCCCATCCCTTATTCGGGGCAAGAAGGGACCATCGATTACACGGGTCAATACCACGTCTTCAACTGCCGTCAATTTGCTCTCCGAGGGTACATGCCTCCGGCACCTCGTCACGTCCCTGTCCAAGCCTGCCATTCCCTCTGCCTCGTTCGCTACATGGATCACCACCGTCATCACTATCCCATGCCGTGTCCTTGTTCCTCCCTCCCTGGACCTCCACACCAAATCTGCGTCACTCGCTTAGACACCTTATTTAAAACGTTCATTCGTCACACCCGAGACGCCGCGGCCGTCCAATGGGCRAGTCGCTTGTGCATCCAAGAATTTCAAACCAACACCTTCCACGTCATCCTCCTCCACAAACAACGACTCCATCTCGTCCGACTTCATCAACGAATTCATCCGCCCCACACTCCTCTCAACCACGTCAAGTTCTCCCTCGACTACCAGTCYCACATGCGTYGYTACCTTACCTCGCTCGACCTCAGYCCTCTCCCTGGTCTMACTCGTTACGTCCTCCGCTACAAACGCTGTGATGCATGTCTCGCTTACCTCCCTGGATGGTTCCCCCAATGTAGAAACTGTACCACACCTTTCCAAACTCTTCGTAATGGCAAACGCGTCCGACGACACGACTTATCTACTTAAAAAACATTTTGTTCCGTCCGTTGACTTTAGGTACTGCTTTTTCATTGGCCAATAAAAACCTTTCAACACACCCATGACTTGAGTTTTTTCTCCCCTCACTTGCATGCGCGTCCTGGGTAGCTCAGCCTGTCCATCGCGGTTCGGCTGTGGTAGTATTATGCGATTGTGGTACTAGTCGGGTAAGTAACAACGCGGCGCTCACTGCGGTTCGAGCCTCCCGAACGCCATAACTTTTTTTCACAAGAAAAAGCTTATATGCTAATTACTTCCGGACCCTTACCCTAGACTACCTTAACTTCACTTCTCTATTTCATAGCAGCCCCGGTGGTCTAATGGTATGATACTGGCCTAGCTGGCTGGAGATCGAGGTTCGACTCCTCGCAGGGGAGCTTTTCTTTTTTTAAAAACTTTTTCCTTTTTATTTTCTTACTTTCTTAGGCACAATCATCAGCTAGCCTCATCCAAGCTTACGCTCAATTCAAGGCTCAAGTTAAGGCCTCCAAAGAAGCCAAGCCTACCCCCAACATCGACGACCAAGTCACGGCCAGTCTCATTCGAGTTCGTGGAAACGACCTCCACAAAGCAGAACCCCGACCCACCCTCGAAGAAGAGGAAAACGCCAAATGGTTCATCCATCCCGAAACCCATAAGCGCTACCTCATCCACAGCCCTGATACTCCCAAGGAAATAGCCAACGACCTTGCTCGAGGCATTGGCAAAGTCCTCGTCACCAATCATGGCATGTTACGACGCATAGGCTTCCTTGCTGCTTGGAATACCTATACCTTCGCCATGGTCAATCCTCCCCAAGGACCCCACATCCACTCTGGCGATCCCAGCCTCATTGAAGCGTACGCCCAATGGAAGATCAAGGTTTCCAAAGATGCCCTCCGCACGTACGAGCAAAAAGAAGAAAAGCGCAAAGTAGAAGAACGCAGGGAACAACGCAAGCAATACATCAAAGAAAGTCGTGACCGATGGATGACCTCTAAGGGTCATACCTGCGTTTGTTCCTGTGACACCTGTACTTGTAAATGTCATGAATATCCCTCCTATTAAAAAACGTTAACCTCAAACCAACGTCTTGACTACCTTTTTAAACACCTCCCTAAGTAAGTGCTCGTGGTAGCTCAACGTGTAGAGCGTCGGACTATAGTTCCGAAGGTTGCTGGTTCAAACCCAGCTCGCGGGACCTTATACTTTTTCAACGAAAATAAAAAAAGAAAAATCAGAATCAAATCCCCACTTACGTCACCCGTTACGTCACCCGTTCCCGCTTCCCATTGGGCGATCCATCACCCTAATCGTTTCCGTTTCCGGCGATTTGCTATGACAACAGGAATATATGAATATCTAATTCATGAATAAATTATCGTGACCCTATGTATAGACATTTATCACTACTACGCCATCTTGATTAAAGGCTTGTTGTTCACTCGCTAGTCTTTTAGTTTACATAATATTACATGGTGGAAGCGAGTTCTCGAACCTCAAAATCATAATGCCAGAGACAGATGAACAAGCGACATCGCATCCTCGTCCTCCAATGGCAAATACTATTCCTCCACCAGAGAAATTCTCCGGAGCAAACTCACCACAACAATCGGATTTGTGGCAAAAATGGTTTCGCCGTTTTGAAAGATATCGCCTCGCCTCTGGCCTCAAACATAAACCCGACATCGAGCAAGCGAGTACTTTGTTATATTCAATGGGTGAATGTGCCGATGATATYCTTCAAACGATCAATATTGATGAAGAGAAAGCGACTTACGAAGAAGTCAAAACTGCCCTCAACAAATATTACGAAGTCCGTCGTAACGTGCTTGTCGAGCGTGCGAAATTCAACAAACGAGTCCAGCAGCAAGGAGAGTCTATTGACACATTCATACAGGATTTATACAAGCTAGCTGATGACTGTGAGTATGGTACACTAAAGAAAGAGCTTATTCGTGATCGAATTATTGTTGGTGTGATCGACGACACACTCTCTGACCGACTTCAAGCCCAGACAAAGCTAACCTTAGAAGAAACTGTACAACTAAGTAGACAGGCAGAGGCAAGAAAACAAAGCAAAGAAGTTGTACGTGGAAATACACAGCCTAGCACTGGCAATAACACTGTCAACTATATTAAACGTCCTACTCAAAACAACAGACCAAATCCTAGAAACGAAGCAAAAGGTGAAACTAAGCAGTCCAAGAAAACCGCCCCACCTTCCTCATGTTGTCCATGGTGTGGTAACCGTCAGCGCCATGACCGTAAACAGTGTCCAGCTAAAGATGCTGCATGCTTAAAATGCAAGAAAAGGGGACATTTCCAGTCAGTCTGCCGCAGCCAAGCTCGAAATCAAGCCAATCCAAAACCAAAAGCGAATGAAATCGAAGATGATGATTCAGATATGCCCTTTCTAGGAGAAGTACTAGGAGAAATAAAAGGTGGAGAAAATTCCTGGATTGTTCAAGTGGGAATAAATAACAATGTCACTCGTTGCAAATTGGACACAGGAGCAGCAGTCTCTGTCGTCAGTGATTCATTACCTTGGATAAAGCAACAGCCATTGGAGCCTGTGAGACAATCGCTCATGGGTCCAGGGGGACACGCCTTACTGTTGTTGGATCCTTCCTAGCAACTATCAAGTACAGACAAAGCAAGATACAAGAGCGAGTCTATGTCATAAAGAACCAGTCGTGCTCTCTCCTCAGAAGACAGGCTTGTGTAAACCTCGGTCTTATCAGACGACTAGATGTGGAAGTTGAAGAGCTGAACACAGAAGTGCCTAACTTTAGAGCTGAATTCCCTCAACTATTCACAGGCCTGGGTAAACTCCAGACCGAATGTCACATCACTCTTCAAGATGATACAAAACCATTCTGCCTGTATACACCAAGGAAAATCCCTCATCCTTTAATGCCAAAGGTCAAACAAGAAATCGAAAACATGTTGGAGCAGGGAGTCATCTCACCTGTGACTTGCCCAACACAGTGGTGCTCGGGAATGGTACCCGTACCCAAGTCTAATGGAAGAGTACGAATATGTGTAGACYTCACTMAACTTAACAAAGCAGTTCAACGTGAAATACACCCTATGCCCTCAGTCGACGAAAGTCTTGCAAAGCTAGGACAGGGTAAAGTTTTTAGCAAGTTAGATGCTAACAGTGGCTTCTGGCAAATTCGTCTCGATGAAGAGTCAAAGCTACTCACAACGTTCATTACGCCATTCGGTCGATATTGCTTCAACCGGCTTCCCTTCGGGATCAGCTCAGCCCCAGAGATCTTCCAAAGGATAATGTCCAGCACACTTGAAGGTTTAACAGGAGTTATTTGTCAACTGGATGATGTCCTTATACATGGAATTGACCAGAAAGAACATAACAAAAGAGTAAGAGCAGCATTGTCCCGTCTACAAGAAGCAGGTCTTACTTTGAATGAGAAGTGCGAATTTTCTAAGACTTCCATCAAATTTCTTGGCCACATCATCGATAGCAACGGTCTCCATGTCGACCCTGAGAAGACTATAGCCATCTCAAAGTTTCCAAAACCATCAAATGTTACAGAGTTGCAAAGGTTTATGGGTATGGTAAACCACCTGGGGAAGTTCATCCCAGATCTAGCCAGCATCAATGAGCCCTTACGACAGCTTCTACACAAGAACAGCGCATGGCGATGGGGAGTAGAACAGGAAAAGGCTTTCCAAAAGATAAAAGAATTGCTACAATCTCCAACTGTACTTGCTCATTATGATCCACTTCGCCCGACCATCATTGCTGCAGATGCCTCAGCAACAGGAATCGGTGCGGTACTACTCCAGGTACAAAAGAATGGAGATCGTCGTCCAATCCGTTTTGCCTCACGTTCACTCAACGAGGCAGAACGACGCTATGCCGTCATAGAGAAAGAAGCACTGGCCACCACATGGGCCTGCGAGAAGTTCTCTCAGTATGTAACCGGTCTACAATTCATTGTTGAAACAGATCACAAACCTCTCACCACACTCCTTAACTCAAAGGAACTGCCAAAGATGCCTGCTCGCATTCAGCGATTTCGTCTAAGACTTATGAGATACAATCCTCAAGTAGTGTATGTGCCGGGCAAATGCCAAGTCACAGCCGATGCCTTATCTCGTGCCCCGGTTGGCCAATCACAACCACTAGATGACCAGCTGGCCAGTGAAGTAGAATCTTTCGCTGTAAACACAGTTCATGTTCTGCCAGCTACACCACATCATCTAAAGGAAATATCTGATGCTCAGAAAGCAGATGAAGAGTGTGCGATCATACGAAAGTACTGCACAGAAGGCTGGCCTGCCTACATGCCACATACCCCGCTACTCCGACCTTACTGGAAAGCAAGAGGAAATCTCTCTATCGTCAATGACCTACTGTGAACGCAGTATTTATTATTTAAAACGTGCATTCAGTTACAGTGGTGCTAAATTATGGGATGACTTACCCCAGGAAATAAGAAAATCTGGTTCATTAGCTAGTTTTAAATGTAAATTGAACAAGGTTTCCTTTTGAATATTAGTTCCCACACGGCAATCATGTAAAACAGTAACTATCATGTAAGTGTATTTTCTTTTTGAAATTGACTGTATGTATTTTACGCAGCCACTACAGTGTGTCAACTCTAAGTCCTGAAGTAATAAGAATGGAAACCGGCCTGCCTACAATAGAGGTTTTCGACATTGTCGTTAGTTATGCTTTAAGATTTAAAGAATCTATTATTTTTATGGTTGGGCTGTAAATACAATTTGTTTTGAAGATCAGGTCTTCATTACATTGATGAAAGTAGGACAAAATTATACAAATCTGCATCTTTCTCAACTGTTTTGTTGTAGTGTAGCTACTATTTCCAACATGGTTATTACTTTTGTACACGTTTTACATGAAATATCATTCAAAGGCATTATGACAACTGTTCCCTCGAGATATAAAAACACTACTTGTTCACCATCCTCATTCTCAGGGTTTAGTTCTTTTAGAGTCGTTATTGATTGAACTTGAGATCGCAACTCCAAGGCTGATGAGCCAACAAAGTGCAACTTATTCCACTGTCGTGACGTTTTGTCTCGATTAGTGAGTAGCAATGAAACAATTGACCATGGATATCTTATTACAGTATTAAATTCCTCTAATGATTTCAATGCTACATTAACTGCAAACCACTGTTCGGAATAACTTATATTCCCAAAGTTTGCAGTAAGTTCTCCTTTTACATCACTTGTAAAGACACATTCTTGGTGATGTAAATCACTACATGGAAATTCTTCAAACCTTGAGGTCAGCCTAGAAGAATGTAAAAAAATATATATCAATAATATATATATAATTCATATATTATAGAGTGCAAAAAATCTGTGAAACACTAATTACTAAATAGTACAAAATAGTGCTAACTTAAATAGAAAACATTTGAATATACATAAAATTGCACTATTTAGTTGGCTGGACATTATAACGTATAATTCGTTAAATTTTAACAGGAGAAACCATTTCTTGGATGGTGTTATTACACTTTTGACGTACTATACTAAAATCTTCATTGCTCGCAAAGCTTTGTCCCCGGCCCAAGATGCTTCACGAGCAGAGAGCAAATCCACGTCAGCCGAAACATGATGACGACAAAAAACGCCAGGGAAAGACCCCCACATACCATGTAAAGGATTTAAGACTTCCTCATAAGGAAAAAGAGTTTTCCCTCACTAAAGATGGCGACCAAATTTCGAAGAAGCTTCGCGCGCGAGAGTTTTTAAAACACAAATTCATGACTTTCAAATGAAAAGTTAAATGAAGCTTTGCACTTATATCTTTAAGTTATCCAAATTTAAGGAAAAAGAAACCACTTCTTTAAATTAAAGCACTAGAAAACGCGTACATTTCTCGACATTGAACATCGAGAAGGACTCAAAATTATGAACCTATTTTGTCGAATCCTGGCATTTTCTTTGATTTCGCGCCCAAGATAATTTATGCCTTGATTTTGCTTTATAATTAATTATGATTGTCGGGATTTTAACATCACCAAGTGCTCGTCGTTTTACGTAAGTTTGCTAGGGGAAAACATGTCCAAGGCTTATTACTCGCAGTTTTTTGATCAGCCTCCGGCACACGAAAAATAAACGTCAACATATTCAATGCTTTCAGAATCAATCTTTATTGTTAAACATTCCTGATGAGCAGGTGCTGCTGAAAGA